TAAGTTAATAGACAGAAAAAAAATTTATTTAATTTATTTGGATTATTACTTTCATTCATTCAGTAAAAATGTATATAGTGTGACGTCTCTGGGCGCCTTGGGCTACTTGACAAAGAGGTACTTACGAATTTCTCAAATTCCCCATTTGAATGGTTCAACCTCTGACCACCAGATGTCTCATTAAAATATCTCAAAGCTTTGATTCTCTCGCAAGTATTCATTCCAGTCTTCATTTCTGTATACGTACTATATATATATCAGTTCAGCTTCTAACATTAATTATTCTAATTTTTAATAAAAATTATAAGCATTTTTGACCAATCCACTGAATACAATGGTTAATTCAATGTAAAATTAATATATTAAGTTGTTTTAAGTTAAAGCATAAACAACCATCTAAATTGTTTTTTGACAGGATATACTAATTGTTCTATAATTAAAATACTTGAAAATAAGCCAGAAACTATATTTTACTATGTACATTATTACTAACGTTAAAGGAATTAAAAATTGATTAAAAGTATCAATTAAATATAATAGGGATGACAAGGATAGCAATAGCGAAGGGAAACAAGGAAACGAATAGCGCATAAAGATAGCACTAAAGAAATAAGTTAGACAAGGATAAGAATAAGGGAAGGCAAAGATAAATCGATAATAATTTACATAGAGGCGAACAAAAGCTTATATCTAAAAGAATTAATAAACTACTAAATTTAAACCTTTAAAAAACGCGCGCATGCGTCTCTTTTCCGCGCGTCTCTTAAAGGTTTGAATTTAATAGTTTGTTAGTTCTTTTGGATATATGTTTTTGTTCTTCGCTATGTAAATTGCTAATATTGATTTATTTTATAATGTTAAACAGAAATATAAAGACTTTTGACTAGTTTGAACATATTTATTTTGTCTTAAGGTTAATTACAATTATTGCCTGGAAAGGATCTAAACTAACGCCATCTCGTGCTTGTCTACGCTAACTAACGGCTCGTTACTAGGAACACAGAATGTAAACAGAGGTATTAAACAAGGAATGCCCTACTGTGCGAGAAGGATAGAGAGAAACGTTTCCTAATGGCCCACGTGCTCCTAAGCTCCACCTCCCAGACGTTAAGTGTAAATCAAGGCGGCTGGTGAAAATCATTAATAACTCATTATTTACGATAAATTTGCGAACTTTTAATACTGAGGAATAAAGTATGAACCTCTAGCAACTTTCTCATAGAAGTTTGAACGTCGCAGGTCCTTTCAATAATTAATTATTAACAATTCTTCTGCGAATTATCGGAAACAATACGAAAGTCTCATACGGTTTTTTCTACAGTTGTAACAGCTTGTTATGGTTATTAATGTGTAATTTTTTCAGACTTTTTAGACCATTTAGACCATTTAATGAATAAAGTATGTCGATTATACGAGTATGCCACTCTTTTACGTTAGGAAAGCTAGGAGAATCGGTTTATAATTTTTTTAAGTATGATACACCTCTCAAAAAAAGCAGAAAAAATTATACATTCATAACCATAACAAGCTGCTAAAACTGTAGGCCTCTCTTAGGCCTCACATCTGGTCGGTCTTACACTTAAAGAGAGATTTACGCATTCTGATTTACAAAAGCTGTATCCGCCCTGTCCTGATGTACGGAGCCCAATTCTGGGGACGTGTAAATCAACACTAGGACTTATACGTGTCTCTCAAAATCGAATACTAAAGATAATCACTGAAAAACCTGTAAGATACCCCACGATCTTTCTTCACTCTGAGACGAGAGTAGAACTCATTCACGATTATACAGTATATGTACTTCCACCGTATTGCAGCTGCATATAACGTTCAGGTTCTTGAAAATCCTGAGGTATAGATTACGGAAATCTACGATCTAAATAAAATTCCCTATATAGTGATGGTAAATTTTCCACTAACACTTGTCGAAAAGATTTGTTTACAAAACCATTAGCAATACTTTAAAAATTCTGTAAATTTCCAATCTTTTCAAAAGTCATGTTACTATGCTATTCAAGCATAAACCTCATCCTACTTGCAACCTTGTGTGCATCAAGCTGTTTTTTGTCATTTTTCTCCTATAATCAAAATAATGTTCTCTCTTTTACTTTGGGTTGGTAACGCCAGTTCCACATTTTCAATATTTCAGAGGACGCAAGTTTTCAGGCACGGTTAAAAACTTATAAAAGAAAGAAGAAAAAAGAAACAATAGCCCAGGAGTTTGGGGTAGGGGTCGTTTGCATCAGCCTCGTTGATAAGCCTAGGAGACAATCCCAAGACGAAATACTTTTTCTTTTTCTTCATCATCATTGCATGTCCCCTTCCTCTAAGTAGTACTGAAACGTAACAGTTGATAGACCAGAGATGGAGCAAAATCCCTTTCTCATTGCGTACCCGTCTACAAGGGTGTGAGACGTAACACTAGTAAGGTTGCTCTTATATATAGGGATATTTTAATTTAAATTAAATATTTGTTACATTTTAGTGAAAAATACAAAAGTACCACACTTAATGTATGACTCATTATTAATCATTATTTCAAATTGTATGGTTGATGTTTACAAACGATGAATTAATTACTTTCAGGATTTATCATTCAATACATATAAAGTATTATAATGTTCTCTTTTTAATTCGTTGTTCATAGCAACATAAATAACAATTATAATTTTAATTGAAACTACAATTCAACCGCAAGTATTATACACCAACAATGTTTACATTATAGAAAAATTATGCTTAACTACAATTAGTTTTTTTATTTTATGCTTTATACATTATTCTTTATGACATG